GAATTGCATTTAAAAAATAATTTAAATTGAAAAAGGTTTTGAAAAGTCTTCTTTTGGCTTTGGGCCGAAAGTCGGCCCAAAACCCTTCTCTCTCTCCTCGGCCCAAGTCGGCCCAGTCCGCAGCCGCAGCCGCCCGCGCGCGCGTCCTCGCTCGCTGACAGGTGGGGCCCGCCTGTCGGAGTCGTCGTCTTCCTCCGGCCGAAACCTTAGCGCCGCGCCGCCGCCGCCGCTTTCCAAATCGGCCGATCCTTTCCTTCTCCGGCCGAATCAAAAGAGGGGAAATGATCTTCGGGATTTCCTCTACCTTTTCTCCTTTGGAAACACCGGCTAAAATCGTTTGGAAATTCGTGGATTCGAGTTTGTTTCGGATTCGATTTTCCCGAACTTTCCTTCTCGTCGCCGGCCGTCGTGGGCCTTCGCCGCTGCCTCCGAGCCCCTTTAAAAGGACCCCCGAGCTCTTCTCTACCCGCCGCCACCCTCGCCTTCGCCTCTCGTCACCGGTAGCGCCCTAGCGTCGTGAGACCTCGAGCCGCCGTCGCCGCCGTCGCTCCAGCCCTGCGCCGCCGCCGTTCCGGTCATCGTCATCGCTCAGGAAGGCCACCGTCGGGATCGCCAAGTCGTCGCCGTCCTCGTCCGCCCCTTCGCCACCGTCGGAGACCGCCGGAGCATCGTCGCCGTTGTCGACCCGATCTCCGCCGTCGCTTCTTCCTCGTCGCCGTCGCCGTCCGTTGGTCTTCCGCCGTCGCTTGGGTCGCCGGTGAGTTCGCCGTGCCGTCCGCTACCCGTTGGTGTCCTCCGTTCTTGCCGAAGTGCCGCCGTTCGCTGGCAAGCGTGCGCCGTCCGAGCCGTCCGAGCCGCCGAGCCGCCGCCGCCGGTGGTGACGTCATCGCCGACGTCATCGTCGCCCTCTTCCATGAGCCGGTCGTGGACCGATCGATCTCGGCCGTCCGTTTTGGATCAAGTCGATCTCGGCCGTCCGTTCGCGTGAACCGCCGCCGTGCGCCCGGTCCACCGAAACCCTAGCCCGCTGACGCAATAAATCCCTTTTCCTTTTCAAAAATAATTCATTATTGCGTCATAATTCAATTAAAATCAATATAAGTGTTTTAATCCGATTTAATCTTCAAAAATTCATAACTAATTCATCTTAGCTCCGATTTAGTTGGTTCAAGTCTCTAAATTTTTCTAAAATTGAGATCTACACAATAAAAATATCCACATGTACTGTTCATGCTTGTTTATGTGCTGTTTTGGTGATTTTGCTCTTTTCTGCTTAGATTCCGTCGTTTCCGGAGAGTCCGTTTTCGCAGGAGAAGAGTTTGAAGAGTTCCAAGGCCAGCAAGGCAAGTCACACAGATCCCAAACAACCCTTTGAGCATGTTGATCCCGTTTAAAGCTATTGTTTCTATTCAACTATTGCATTTATTTTCGAATGTCATTGGGTGGAATTAACCTATTGTTTGCTATAGCCCTTTTGTTCTTGATTACTTTATTCCTTGATACCTTGGGTTATTATAATTTGACTAGTTGAGCTTTATTTATATTGGTTCAACTAGATATTAGATATAATTGCTTAGCCATGCTTAGAAACATTAGCACACTTTTGGGATAACTTATGATTCACTATTATTTAATGATAGCTCACGATGGTCAATTGTGATTGGTTAATTAATTAATGTGCCAACTAAAACCTGGTAATGGTGGGTTGTGAGCACATGGTTTTGATGGTCGTGCTCATGACAATTAAGGACCGGTTCACGAGTTTCGGTTGTGAAACATTAACCGTGCCAACCACAAGCCAGCGTGGGCAACGGCTTTATCTTTTGTATAACATGGTTCATTGCGGGGCACCAGACTGAGAAGTGGCGGAGATAAGCCCACGGGGGTCGCTGGGGAGTCCATGCCTTGTTTATAAGGGGGTGATTATGATCCAGGAAGGTGCGCTGCAGTGGATTGTGTTATGCAAGGGGTATTGTCACAACTCCTTTCCGAGGTACCGTGGTGGTATTGAGGCACATGGTGACATGATGTGGGGTTGTGTCTTGTGGGTACAGTGGTACACCTCTGATCAGAGTAAAACTATTCGAATAGCCGTGCCCGCGGTTATGGGCGGGTCTAACAATGTCTTTCGTGATTAGTCTCACCCTTCTCACCATAGTAAATGATGCTATAACTGGTAATAATTTGATTAGCTCCTGGTTTGGAATGGTATATTCCTGGTTTGGAGATAGAACTGTGCAGCCGGGATGGTTGTTCAGAATGGTTGGGCCTATACAACAGGGTATGTTGTATAGCGTTGGATTAATATTGTTTAATTATTACTTAACTGTTTTATTAAATTCTCAAATGTTTGCTAAATGCTGCTTTTGCAAAAGAAACCCTATTATGCCATCCTTTGTTATCCTGTGCACTTGCATATTTGCTGCGTGGCTTGCTGAGTATGTCATATACTCACCTTGCAATCATTCATCAGAGGAAGAGTTCTACAATGATGCTGATGGTGTGGAGGATTAGGTGTAGCCTTGGTCAAGCTGCTTGTGGAGTGGAGCCGTCCGCGCCGTTTATCTTATTTTCCGCTGCTTAGATCTTTATTGATTGAGAGGAACTATCTACCTCTGTAATGACATTTTATTCGCTTATTAGTTAGAGTAATATTTGTACTCTATTATCAATTTGTTATTGTGTGCCTCGGCTGATTCCTGGACGAGGGTTCCCACACATGTAAGCGTTTGGAATTTTGGATAGAAATTCCGGGCGTGATAATTGTGGAGGAGGCCCGGTGCCGGTTTGTGAGTGGTTTGGAGTTCACCACCTTCGGAGAGAAGAAAGAACTACCCTAGTGATCGAGGCTTGGGTAGTCCTCTCCGTGGGCTGGCTCCCGCCTTGCCCACCCCTTGACGAAGAGGGCGTGCGGAGGCTTCGTGGTTGAGTGGTGGAGTTGGGCTCGCCTCAACGGGGAGTAGGAAACCAGCGAGTTTCCGAACCTCGATGAAAAATCTCTTGTCTCCTTGTCTCATTTGATTGTCGCATTTACCTTTGTGCAATTTACTTTTCTAGAGACAAACTTGAGATCATATCACCCTAGGATTGCTAAACATTGACATAGGAGTGTGATTTACTTTCGTAGAGATATAATTGAGCCTCTATCACCCTAGATTTGCAAAACATAACTTAGTTGCTTAGTTAGAGTTGACCCTCACCAAGCCTAGCAACTTAGGTTAGTTTTGATTTGGTGTCATTTAGTTTTAAATCGCCTATTCACCCCCCTCTAGTCGACATCTCGATCTTACATACGTGTATCGGATGATTCTTGTGAAGTATTAGGCGATACTTATGAGGTACCAGACGATTCTTGTGAGGGATTAGCTCATACCCATCCCAGCGCAACGGCATCGATCTTGCTCCACCGATTCCCCATCACGGCCATGCAGCTCCAGGACCAGTAGCTGCTCCTGCTCCGTCATGCTCCAGGACCAGTAGTTCAGCCACAATAGTCTATAGCTCTTCCTGGGCCTCTTAAGCCCTGCACTAACTTGATCTAATAAGCGATTGATGGATCAATATATCCATCGGAGAAGAAAGAGAAATAGAAAGAGAGAAATCAAAAGCATACCGACACAGCAAGTGAGTGCGTTATAGCGGCCCTCCCTTTGGGTGGCAATGTCGTTAATGAGGAGCAGGTCCTCGACCGTCCACGGCCCACGCTAGAGGTCGGTGGTGGCGACCACGTCCTCCATATTGAGCAGGTCCTCCACCATCCACGCCCCACGCTGAAGGTCGTTGCCGGCAGCCACGTCCTCCTCGCTGAGCAGGTCGTCCTCCATGGCCCGCATTACAGGTCATCAGTGGTGGGCCGCCTCCTTGCCACTGCTCAGCTCTCGCTCCTCCTCGCGACATCCTTGGATAGGCCGGGGATCCTTACTTTCAATAAATTTTAGTTTCCATATTTTAAAATCAAAATTTTCAGGGTGTTACAGTAATATCCTAGTTGCCACTTTCATGAAGGCGTCACATCGGAGGTTCCCTATTAGTGGGGCGTCCTTGTGGCGGTGTTCCTACCAGTTGGGTTCGATTGCAATGGTGGTGGCATGGACTAGACGAATGATTGATTATAGCTTAGTTACTCTCTGATGTTATGTCATGCTTTGGTTTGAGGTTAGCACTGGTAGTGCCTGGAGCGAAATTTGATCGACAAGGATCAGCCGCTGATTTCAAAGGTTTTTTCTTTTCTTATTTGAGGAAGATAAGGACTACATTTAACTTGTAAACCGTTGGTAGAAACAATGACTATACATACTCTTGCCAACCATAGATGGAAATATTTGTCTTTAAAGTGGTATACTATGTAGTTTTCTTATTTTTAATCGAGCTGTAATTTTGTAATTTGCACTCATTTGTCCTGCAACCTCCGTAATAACTGGTTGTAGTTTTTCTTTAAGCAAAAGCCGGAATGAATTTCATTATAAAAAAAAACTACTTCAAGGGTCACTGATCTTGCCGATGCAAAAAAAAAAATGTTCCTATGATCAATCGATGAGTAAATAAGTAAATAAGAACAACATAAAAACAATCTGAATTAGAAATACGAAAAAACACATACGATAAGTTAGGTTCCAAAGATGGGAAAACAACTATCTAACTGTTCACAGCTTCATACATTAAATTAGCAATAATAATGATTTAAAAACCCAAGACACCCTGAAGTAATACATAGCTATTGGAAGAGGTGGGATGATATCCAAGACGTCCCTGCTACCTAGGAACATCCTCCATCAGAACATGGTCTCACTTTGGCCATGGTCACAGATGAAGTTGCAAGACCAAACAACCATTAAGGTCACGTGGCATCTTGTTTGTTAAATTGCTGACACCTCGATCTAAATATTAATACAAAGTCGAATCCGTTGGAAAGTGGACAACACACCTACCGCACTGTAACCATACCATGTCAGTGTTTATAAACAATTGGACAAAATTTTACCTCTGCATTGCACTGACCATTACAGATAAAAGGTTATCTATTAACTTTTTTTTTTGAGTAGTGAATACACCACAGTTATTCACCATTTACAAATTATTAGGAGCAAACTTTTGTTACCAGGAAAGATTCAGGATAAGTAATTCCATTGTTTGCAATAACTCACATCGACACAAAATTACAAAATTATGTAAAAAAAAGGAGTTACAATATCGTCATTTCAAACCAATATAGATGGCCCATAGATTTTCTACATTAAATTCACCTCACCTGGAGAGAAACTTCAGTGATCTCTTTTTGCCTACTCAACTCAGGGTTGCTAGACCATGCGTAGCTGCTAGTGGTGTTGCTGCTGTACCCACCACCCCTAAGCTGCCACTCAGTGATGTAGCTTGGCTTGGTGACCACCTTAGCCACATCGACATCTCCAGTCAACATTGTCACGACCTTCGACATTGGCGGTCGCTGGTGCGGAGAGCCCTGAGTGCAGACAAGTGCAACATATATGACTCTAAAAGCTTCATCCTTGTCAAATTCCTTGAGACTTGGGTCAACAATTCCAAGTGCTTGATCCATTTCATACAGGCCCCATGCCTTTTGATAAACATAGTTTGAGTAAGCAAAAGGCAATTTACAATGAATTGAAGTTTTCTAGTATGGGAAGAACATAGACCAGCATACCCATTCAAGGAGACAGATCTTGCTTTCCTCGAGGGAGTTGTCGGTGTTTGGTCTCCCAGCGACAGTCTCCAACATGACCACTCCGAATGCAAAAATATCAGCCTTTTCTGACAAATGGCCTCTCATTGCATACTCAGGAGCTAGATAGCCCCTTAAAAATGATAAGACAAGTTAATAGTAGCATTCATATTGATGTTATAATCATAAGAAGATAAGTGGTAAAACATTCTTACAATGTGCCTGCAATTCTAGTGCTCACATGAGTTTGATTCTCATCGTAGAGTTTGGCAAGTCCAAAGTCCGAGATCTTTGGGATGAGATTAGTGTCAAGTAGAACATTACTAGCTTTGATGTCCCTATGCACAATGCGTACACTTGACTCCTCATGAAGATAAGTTAGCCCTCTTGCTATTCCTAAAATGATCTCGAAGCGCATTACCCAGTCTAGGTTTAAGTTACTGTCACCTTTACAAGCAGAAATAGCTCAGTTATCATCAGGAATGCCAATTATAACAAAGATGCAGAAAAGAAAAATCCTTAATTATTAGTCACGAAGCAATGAGTTTTATTTGTGTAGAAAGAAAATACAATTCTATAAGTGCCGAGGGCGGCAATTTTACAGAAGTGAACTCACCAAAGATTGCTCGATCTAAGCTTCCATTTTCAAGGTACTCATAAACCAACAAGGGTGTTTTACTATCAATGCAGCATCCATGCAATATCACAAGATTTCGATGTTGCACAGCGGAAATTGTCGCAACCTCTGTCACAAACTGGCTTGTTCCCTGATGAGATGATTGTGAAAGTTGCTTCACAGCTATAACTCTTTCATCAGGTAGCTTACCCTGCCAAGGTTTTTACATGTGTATTTTGAGCATAGACAAATGTTGCTAAAACACAGCACTTCAATGCCAAATCAGATAAATTTATAACCAGCTGCAGTTGTACATAATTAATTATGGAAATAAAGAACCTTATACACTGGCCCGAATCCACCTTCGCCTAGAATATTTTGAGAACTGAAATTGTCTGTGGCTAGCTTTAGCTCAGCATAACTAAAAACGTCAGGTCGTCCAACCAGGTTGTATAGTTCTGCATGTTATTTTTAGCACAGATGAGAAGAGTAAACCAGATAATTTTGATGTTTGAATTATATATGTCCTGATATATAATACCTTCTTTCTGTTGTGCCAATGCTCTCCGCTTCTTTACTAGTGTAAACACTCCAAATAATGCTGCTAATACTAAAACTATTGCACCAATCAATATTCCGGAAATTGCACCTGCTTTACTTTTCCTTTTTGGTATGCCGTTTCGAACGGTAGGAGTAAAATCTGCAAAGGAAAAATATTATTTATCGGCAGCGAATATAACACTTCCTGCTGTTGTTTTAGTGTGGTGCTTACTTGGAGTGACGCTCAATGCTGAGATCATTGGCCCATAGTAATTATCTTTAGTAGGTATGTCAACAGTGCCCTTGCCAGCCCAGAATAGATGGATCTCAAGGAAGTTTTTAGACACAGTTACCATGAAACTCCTATTAACTACGGTAAAAGATTTTCCACCTGCTGTTTTCCTTATATCGAAATCCTTTTGTTTTAGAGCACCCTATGTAAATATCAGTAATACTTTTAGATAAATATTGGTAAGATTCAGTAGAAAAACATTATATAAAATGCACAAAATTTCTACCTGGATATATATGTCAAAAACTCTTCTCCCTAAGCTTAGCCAAGTCTGTGAGTCTGGAAAAGCTAATTCTGCGAATTGGAGCAAAACAGTGTAATTTCCATTCTCAAGTCCAAGTCCATAGTACCTCAGAGATGATGATGACATCCTTGCAGTTTCAAACAACTCTGAATCAACTACATTTTGAAAAGGTTGGGAGCTATATATAATATTCTTTGCATCTATGGCGTTCCCTACACTACTGACACCCCATCTTGTTTGACCGGTAACATAATATGTTGCAGCTCCAAGATTTGTAGGATCTGCTTCATAAATAGTGTCATCTGAGCCTCTTATGGATGCATTACTGCCACAGTCAACTGCGAAGGAATAATCTGCAATTAAGATTAAAAAAATTGTAGCCATCATTCAAATTCGTAAGTTCATGTTACTGTTTAGTTTTATGAAGAATGAGAAATATACATTCTGGAGATCCACGGAAACAAGGGGTGTCTTGTTGGAGGCAGTTTATTCCCCAAGGTAGCGTACTGTGCACAATTTGAATTGAAAATTTAAAGTTACCAGCAAGATTTTCATATAGTTCACTCGCCAAATTAGAACTAAATGTCACAAGTACCTTTCACTGGTGGTATCGAGTAAGAAGTTGTTTGCCACCAAATTCCTTTCAAAAAACAGAATATTAGTATTTATATTTTTTCTCAGCGACACAAATATCACACTTTTACACTTACAACTGTAAATTGTTTTGTCTAGCCCAAGAAGGAATGCTCCCAGTGAGTTGGTTGTACGAAAAATCTCTGTCAACATTCCAGAATTATGTTATACAAAATTAGTGCGTACTATTATGAATGTAGTTTGTGCTATACTGCCATGTCAATTGTATTTGACATACATCACTTTTAATGAAGAGCTTATACCATCCGGCAACTTTCCTGTAAGGCTATTGTTCCCAAGAAACCTGAATTGGGCACAGTTCAAGATTATAAAATATACTCATCTGCTTAATACAGGCTCGTATGAACAAATTGATGTAAAGAAAGAATTTCTTACAAAGAATTGAGATTTCCCAAATTCAAGATGGATTGAGGAACTTCTCCTGTGATATTGTTAAAACTCAAGTCCCTGTGCCACATGACTATCATATTACTTGAACATATGGTACACAACATGAGGAAATGAGTAATAACGTCATCAGTTGGCACCATGGCCTGTAATTGAAAACTTACAGCAATTTTAACTGTTTAAACATGGAAAATTCTACTGCTCCGAGATCACTAGATATCTTGCAGTTCCTCAATATTCTGTAACGAGGAAATACAACCTTGGTAACTTGCAACTAGACAATACTGTAAGCTTTATAGCTAAAAGCATCACATACAGTGTGCTCAGGGATGCCATATTACTGATAAATGCCAACGGAGAGACCCCATTTATAATATCTCCAATCCATCTGCTCATTTGAGTTTTTCATAAATTAGTTATCAGCCTTGACATTGTCAACCTTCAAGAGTTCATGCCACAAAAAGAGTATACTTACAATCTTGTTAATTTGGTCAGATTAGACAGACTTTCTGGGACTGGTCCTTCAAAGGAGTTTCCGTGGAAAGCACTACAAGCTCATTATTTTAGAAAAAAAGTTAGGGACATTCAACCTTTATAAAGTAAGAAAAAAAATCTCTGTGTGAGCATTCTTAATAAGATCTCTAGGTATGAACATGCCATGTGGACCGCTTACTGTGATGCAGATATCTGCATTTATATTGAGTGAGGACTGAAATGTGAAAAAATGCTTTTGTTTAAGTCTGAATGGAGATAATGTGATATACAGACAGTAATTTATCTTGCACAGATTCATCTATCTCTGAACAGTAAGAACGAATGATATCTTAACAAGCTTACATGTCTTCCAAATTAGTCATTGTGCCCAAATAAGCAGGTATTTTCCCTTTGAATACATTATCTGATGCACTCCTGCAAGCAGACCAAAATATCATTTAGCATGAAAACATGACGAATATAATAATTGAGGCTATGTTTTTGACTATACAAGAACTTCAGGTTCTGAAGTTTTGAGAACGATGAAGGGAACGGACCACTGAATCCAGAACTATCAAAGTACCTGTTATTGAAAGTTTGAAATATTATCATGTTTGACAATAGATATGACCATTCCAAATTTAGTTCTTTTACAAGTAGAAATAAGAAGTTAGAAATCAATGGGGTATCTTACAATTGCTGAAGTTTGGTCAAGTTACCCAGTTCTTCTGGAAGACTTCCTGTAAAATTGTCTGAGCTAATGCCCCTAAATGAAAAATGAAATATTTCAGGACTGACAAAAAATTTTTGTCATCAACTAATAGCAAAAGGGGCATAGTTTTCCTGATGTGCCATTGGACCCACAATATTCATCATTACAATATGTTCAAGTATTTGCTGTTCAATCTTACTTGATCATATGAAGCACCACATGAGCAGGAGTTACACTGACATGCCTATTACATCCTATTTAGTAGTAGTTTTGATCTTTTTTATCACTCCCTCCGTCCCATTATAAGTGCAACCATAAGTGTTTCTGTATCAAACGTTTGACCGTTCGTCTTATTTGAAAAAATTATGATTGTTTTTAAAAAAATAAGTCATGCATAAACTACTATTCATATTTTATCATCTAATAACAATTAGAATACTATTTATAAAAATATTTCAAATAAAACGGACGGTCAAATGTTGAGCACTAAAACCCACAACTGCACTTATTATGGGACGGGGGAAGTAGAACTTATGCGATTGCTATTTCATGTATTATTATATTAGTTCGTGCAGTCCAAATATATACTCCACTCATTTCATATTATCTGTCATTCTACTTTTGTTGTAAGTCAAACATTATATTTCTAACCATCCATTTTTACATATTTATATAGTTTAACATTTAGATTCAACATGAGAAATAATTTCATAATTTATAGTTCGTACTCCCTCCGTAAAAAAAAATACAACTTCTAGCTAACAATTTACACATAAGCTATGCTCAGATTCGTAGTCATAAGTTCAACTCTCTCTCTATATATATGTGCGCGCACGCGCGTGAAAACTGCTAGGAATTGACAGTTAAAGCTGAAAGGATGAGTGGTTTGTAGCAGAGGGAGCAGTGGAAGATTAATCCACATGTGAGAAAAGATTTCTTACAATGAAAGAAGATTGGTGAGGTTTCCTAGTTCCTTTGGAAGTAGTCCAGATAGTGGATTGAAAGATAATGACCTTGAGATGATTAGCAATAATTAAAAAAAAACAACGACCAATAGATGGAACATGATCTAGAACAAACATGTAACTCATACAAGTATTGCATTGAAGTAAATTTTCCGATGAACGACGGAATGGGACCAGTCAAGTAATTACGGAATAAGTTCCTGAAAAGATCACAAAAATAAACTAGAACAATTAGCCAACACAAAAATAATGATGAATACCTGACAAGCATTTGTTGGTGTTCACAGAAAGAACCATGGGATTGAATTTATATTTTGTGCAAACCCTTGATCTATAAATTATTAGTACAAGACTCTTTAGTAGTGCCACACCCTGATTTTGTTTCAGGAATTTATAAATTATTTAATAAAATACTTCTAGAATTTATATTAAAGTGTACATTAATTAAGAAAATGAATTAAAGTGGGAAATAAAGTTTCCTAAATAAAACATTGCTGGATTTAATTTTTATTATATTCTCCATGATTAGTTTACACTCTCTAGAATTTTTTCGGATTTTTCAGAGCTCAATTACTAATTTTAACAATACAAACATCAATTCAATGGTTATTTAAATATAAAATAAATTAGAAACCCCTCCAAAGTTCTGGGTCGAATTGAGCCCATGTCTCTCTCTCCGCGCTCAGCGCAGCTAGCGCTAGGCCGCTAGCCTAAGTCACCAGCCCACCGCCTCCCTCCTCTCACTCCTGCCAACATGTGGGATCTGGTCCCACATGTTAGTGTTGTCCCCAGCATCCAGCCAGAATCACACTGTCTGCGTTCCTCTCCAAATCCAGCCGCCTCTCTAGATCTTTTCCAAAATTAGTTGAGGCCGTTTGTTCCCTATCTCCTCTTTCCTTTCCCCATGAAATCCCCAAAAATATCTAAGTAAATCGTGTGGAATCGAGCTCGAACTCGGACACTCTCTATCCGGTAGAACCCTAGTTTTTCCCAGCGCTGCCATAGCCGTCTTAGGCCCGGATACATTATCTCGTGGCTACAAACAGGATCCCCCTCCCTCTCCTCTTTCCGCTGCCACCCTCGCCTGCACAAATCGGAGCCTGTAGCCCTAGCTTCGCCGCTAGCCCATAGCATCAGCACTGCTGCCACCTTCCAGTCGGATCACGTCGTTGCTCTACTCGTCGCCGCTCTACTTGTCGCCTTCGCCCACTGTCACCTTCGCCGGGTGCGCAAGGAGGAGGCGCATTTCATCTGCCGGTCCTCCATCACCCTATACTGCCAGAACACCGCTATTGACGATGACCCGAGCTACACCGTCATTTCCACCTCGTCGCCTTCACCGTCCGTCGTCGCAACGCCTCTCGATGAGTTCGGCTCGTCACACTCAACCTCTCGGTACCCTCCGTTCATGCTGCCGTGCCTGATTCGCCGGCGATCTTTGGGTTCCGAGCAGGTCGTCGCCGGTGAGGTGACATCATCACCACGCCATTGCTATTGTGTTATCACCAAAAGTTGGTAAGGTTCCTTAGTGGATTTGGTTGAAGGACAAATTTGATCAACCAATGGAAGTCTATCCAGAAGATACCGAATTCAAAAAGGATTGTGAAGACCATGGCATGGCATATTAATTCTATCTGTTGATTTAGTAACTTTCCTTTAATCTTTAGGAAGTTTTATCTAATGTCTGATTAAGACTTGTATTTTTTCCTTTTATGTTTAGCAAACCTATGTCTTGTCTGATTAGGACTTGCATCAACCTGAGGAGATAAATATGTACCACAGGGTCTTTGTAAACTTTCTCCACATATTAATACAATTACTTTCGGCGCATTGCAACCTTTTGTTCTAGCAAGTTCTTACTTTGAGTTGGGCTGCATTGGTTTTGATCTCCAATGAGGAAGTAATTTCTATCAACTTTTCATGTATCGCCGTGGCAAGAACTTTCTCGATTAAGTCAGGTATTCTTTTTGGGTTGACGCAAGCATTACATATCCGATATATTGATTCTATCTTTAACTGCATTGCCGTTTAGAGTTGCATCGACTTAGTTAGGACTTTCTTGGTTAGGTCCGATATTCTGATTTAGTTGATATTTCTCTAATTATACTATTGTTTTAGATAGATTTGTTATATCCATCACGTCTGTGTAGATTTATCGGATAAATAGGTTTTTTAGGGGCAATTGCTTATTTGACCATGTTTAAAAGCATAACTACTAATTTGACCCTACAATTTTCAGTTTGCTTATTTGACCCTGTTCATCAAAATCAAATGAACCGTCTGACCCTGTTCCGTTAAGGCGGGTTAACACTGTTAAATAAGAGGCAAATAGTCCCTTTTGCCCTTGCTTATTTGGCCCTCTTGTATCCAAACATTCATACAAATGGATCTTTTAACAAATCAGAATCAATTTGACAAATTTAATACACAGTAGCTGGAGGTTGATGCTGGGTGCCGCCGCCGACCACCCTTTGCACGCCACTGCTCCCCGCGACAGCGCCGCTGCGGACAAACCGATGCCTCCACAAGCGAATTAAACGGCCCATCGAATGAACTCGCGAGGGAATTCTTATACTCTTGCATGCCCCCTTCACTTGTAGAGAAACGTCTAGGCGCAGCAAATTAATCAAGTGCTCTGATAATCAATATCTCATCAAGGTTATCCAAGTAGTAGCCAGATCAATATCTCGATAATAATCCGGAACACGTTCACCATGGTCGTCGGCGCACCCACCGTGGCGTTCTTCTTGAGAGACCTGAGTAGGTCGTCAACGAAACGCTCCATCCTCCTCCACTTCTGCCGCGGTCGGCCGCTGATGCGACACGGGAATTCCGAGATACCTACACGCATCGCGTGATGCCGCGGCCGCTCCGTCGCGCAATGGCGTTTGCGCCGACCTCCCTATCCGTGCGGCAGCCGCCGCTTCCCCATGCGCTGCCGACGCTGCTGCTCCCTACCTCCACGCATCGGCGGTGCTGCTAGCCACTCCCTCGACGCACCGCCGCCACCGCAGATCCATTTCTCCATGTGCCGCTTGTAAGAGATGAGAGAGACAAGGTGGGATGGATAGGGTTGAAGTGCCTTGATGGTATTTTGGTCAGTTTAAATAGTAAATAGATTTTTTTTCTTTTTCTAGAAGAAACCCTAATGATGTAGTGGAAAGAGGGTCAGACGGAGTGTTCAATTTAAAAAAGTCAAATAAGCAAACTAAGAAAAACATAGTCAGATTAGAAGTTAGGCTTCAAAACAGGGTCAAATAAGCAATTATCCCATTTTTTATCATCTTCAATCTTATACTGTCTCGTTTAGGTTTGATTTATTAGATTGTTGCTAATATGTAATTATATTCTACTAAGCCGATAAGTTTTTATGCAACATTTTATTAGAGTTCTAGCCAATTAGTTATCTTGTTACTACTTCTAAGTGTTGTATCGTCTTATACTCAAACTTGTATAATCAATAGTTAAATATCTCTTTATCAACTTCAATATCATACCGTCTCGATTAATTAGGTCTGATCTATCAAGATTATCTTTGATTAGGAATGGTTTATTGACGATTGATGAAAACCTTATATACATCGGCTAGCCTTGCTACATCACATCAGCCTATTGGCTGATCGGCTCTTTGATCTTATACAATCCATCTATCTATCTTCTTAATTGTACGATCAAACTAACCGCCACGCCCTACACCCGATTGATACGACGAGCTATGTGGATCTCTCAGGCCTTCGTGTGCGACAAATTTCACGTCAACATGTTGCCACGTGGTTCCATCTAAACCCTAGATTGAATCGGTTTGAGCCGTCAGATCTTGGTTAACTCTTGGTTAACTCTTGGTCAAGATCAATCTCGGTTGTCCATCTCAGTGAACATGTGGTCAATCTCTGTGGACCTACTCTACGGTGGACTGATTGCTGATGACATCATAATTTATCTTTTTCTTCTTTAAAATAATTATAAATTATGTAATAAATCTATTTAATCCTTTTAAATAGGCTTTAGTTGAATTAAATCTTGTAAAATTCATTACTAATTCATATGAAGTCGAAATGAGGCAGTTCATAATTCATCTAAAATAAAGCTCTAAATGTTTGTTTACTTTTTATGTATTGTTTATTTGGTTTTTATTAGTCTTTTTTCTCGTTTTGCATGTTAGCTTGTAGTTTCCATCCTTTTTATATATTGTTTAATTGATTATTGTAAGGCATGTCACACATGTCCCAAACAATCCCTTTGAGCATGTTGATAAAATATTTAAATTCTTCTTTTATTTTAAATGTGCATTTAATTTCGAATGTCATTAGGTGGTGGGAACCTTTCCTTTGAATAGCTAGTTTGTATTGATAATCCTGTTCCTTGATATCTTGGGATATAATTTGACTAGCTTGAGCCATATATATTGGTTCGACTAGATATTAGTGTAATTGCTTAGCCATGCTAAGAAACATTAGTATCATTTTACATGCAATAACTAATGATTCACTCATGATTAATGATGGTTAATTAATGGTATGTTGTGATGTTTGGTCATGGTTGATTAATAATATGCTAACTAAAACTTGACTAATGGTAGGTTTTGAGCACATGGATGTGATGATCATGCTCATCACAATTAAGGACCGGTTTTGTATAGCATGATTCATCATGGAGCACCACACTAAGAAGTGGTAGAGATAGGCCCATGTGGGTCACTGCGGAGTCTATTCCGGGCTATGGAAAGACGATGATCCGGGAACGGTGAACTACTTTGAGTTGAGCTATGCGAAGAGTCACAATTTTGCACGTGGTGACATATTAAGCGTGGGCACACGATAACATGGTGACATGTTGTGGAATTGTCTTGTGGGTATATTGGTACACATCTGACTAGAGTAAAACTTTTCAAATAGCCATACATGCGGTTATTGGCAAGCCTAGCAATGTTTTTTTGGTGATTAGTCACACACTACTCATTAATCATAAATAAATTGGTCATAACAATTTGTTTGCATTTTGTATGGACTTTAGATCTGTGTAGTCGGGTTTGGTTGTTTAGAGATGGTTGGGCCTACGCAGCATAGGTATGCTATTCAGAGTTGATTTTAAATTGATTAATTACTCTCAACTATTTACTGAATGTTGCTTTTGCAAATGAACCCTACTATACCTTCCTTTGTATCCCCATGCACCTGCATTTTTTCTATGTGGCTTACGGAGTATTCTATTTACTCACCTTGCAATAATCATCAAATCTCAGTTGAAGAAAGTTTTCGAAGGAGAAGACATGTGGCTTATACCTCAGTTGAACTGTCTGTGAGAGTGGAGCTGAAGCTAATGTTAGATTGTTTGTTACCTGTTGTTTTCTTTTCATTTATAAGTAATATCTAACGTAATTATAATATTGGATCTGTATATTCAATTGTCAATTTTAGTATCTCAGCTAATTAGTAGATGAGTGTATTATATGCACAACTTAGTTCGGAAATTACTAGTGAATTTCCGAATGTGACAGGTAGCAAGATAAATTAAGAAGAGAAGTCTTCGATACCGTACAGGTCCACTAGATGGGTGAGATTCTGTAGCTCCGCAGGTATTTGACCAACTACATCCAAATAAGTTACCCTCCTACATAACAAACAAGTAATAATTCTGATAAGAGAACTATGTTCAGGATACATATATACAGCCGGAGGACCAAATGAATACCTCCGTTTGGGTCCAGCAGATATGTACAATTTTTCTTTAGGGAAGATCTGTACCAAATTTAGGATAGACTTTTCTGATTCCTCTATATGCAGCCTTGGAGATACTAATTAATATCAATAATCTGGTGTGTGTCTATATATATATACACATATATATGTATGTATGTGTGTGTGTGTCTATATATATATATATATATATATATATATATATATATATATATATATATATATATATATATATATATATATATATATATATATATATATATATATATATATATATATATATATATCTTAATTTGCATACTTGCATATACGTGTATATGGGCTAGCACACACGATGAAACCACGATAAAGATAAAGAGAGTGTGCGTACAGTCTCGTAATGTGGCAGAGGGTGTTGTTGTTGAATGTGCAATCGCACTTGATGAACGGGTTGATGTCGCGGTAGTTATCCCAATCGGTTTTATCAGCTGCGAAACCGCTGCAGAGCTCACCGCTGATGTTCCACTCCGGTGATGCCTTCTTGCCCCATCTCCCTAGTATCGTGTTCAGAGCAGCCGCTGCATGGTTAATTTATTAACTCACCATTAGTAATCATGCGGATGAAAGCTACGCAATAGTGAAATCAGACTTCATGAAACTCACGGGTTGCTGCGTAAGTTTTATACAGTAATAATAGAAATAACATATAATCAGTAGGCATAACATTATATAATTTCATCTTTATCGACTGCAGAAAAAAAACTATATACAATTAGGATGTTATTTATAATAATTTAAACTAGATTGGCCATTTAAAATCACAACAATAGTGATGTGGCTAAGTACATCATCTTAAATATAAAACAAAGGTGATACGGCTTAATAACAAAAGAAAACGTGAGAGATAATTTGAACAATATACCTATCTCAACTATCATAGGGATAAAGAAACAATTTAGATGATGTGGCTTAATAAGAAAAGATATAAATAGCATTAATAACCACTGTAGAAATGAACTTTATATAAATATATAGGATTTCTCTAACTCTTTGGTTTCAACGCGGCAAGAGCGGACACACTATCAAAGTTATTATCAACCACAAATTAGTACTCCTGCGATCAAAGTACATGGAGGGAAACCAAACAAGAGAGACATGCATGCGTGGAAGCCTGCCAATGGTTTGAAATCCAATCCACAACCAGCCCAAACCAAAGCAGTAAGCTACACAAGTCCAAACCACTCTAATTCATTTGTCTTCTCTTAGAATCCAAACCAATCCAACCCATATCATATTTCAACCCAAATCAACCCAACCCATTTCATCTATATGGATTCAGTTCACTTTTCCAGTCCATTTCACCCCATTCCAAATCGACACCAACCACATGTCGGCGACGAGGTGGGCGAGGAGCATCGGCGGCGAGCCGAGGAAGTCGCAGCGCGACTCCGAGCAGGAGCAGGGCGCGTGCGGGCAGGCGCGCTGGTGGCCGGCGACGTCGTAATAGGCGACGTAGCTCCAGCAGCCGAACAGGTCGTTGGGGCACAGGATCTTGGCGGCGCCGCCGCACGCGTGGCACTGCTTGCCGGGACGTCGCCATGGCAGCTGCTGCACGCCAAGTGCCCCGCCGCGGACTGCACGCCAAGAAATTGCCACTAGCCGAGCCCTCACGAATCGAATGAAAGAACAACAACAAGAAGAAGAATGTCAGATGGATTGGATGAACAGCTAGGAAGGAGGCAGATAGGGCAACGGAGCACGGCCAAGTCGATCCGCTTTTCTTCTTCTTCTCCGGCTCCGGCTGCAGCTCCCTCGCCGCGCGCCGCTTCCACCGCCTTTTCTCGCTTCACTTGGCCGTTGGGCGACACCACCCACGCCGCCTTCTTGGCGCCGCTCTGCTCGTCGTGCTGCCTGTACGCCGCACTGTTCGCGCTCAACTTGGCCACGTGGTTCGGCGACGGCGTGGACGGCGAGCTCGTCGGCGCCATGCGCGCCGTGCAGCAGGAGTTCCCTCCGCTTCCTCCCCCGCGCCCGCGTCTTCTCCACCTTCCAGAAGGCGGCGGGCGGCGGCGGCGGAAGCTCTCCGACGGCGAACCTAGTGCGGCGGCCGGACATCCAAACGCGGCTGCGCGGCGAGGTCGAGGCGGCCGAGGGCGGTGGTGATGGAGTGCCTCTGTGTCTGAGACGACATCATCTGCTATTTGGGGATGAATCCAATTGAAATCCATGGACTCCATCCATTTTAGACCCAAAAATTATGACTAAAAACCAATCCAATCCAACCCAACCATCCCTCATCCAAGCTGCTCCAATCCATTAGTTATCTCAACCCGTTTACACCCATACCAAGTGAATCCAAATTGAAAACCAATCCATTAGACCCATTCCAATCCAACCCATTGGCAGGCTACATATACGTACGCGTGCATTCTTAATTACCTTCGACTGGATCAGTTTTTGGTGCTTGTTGATCCTGAGCAGCTGCAACCCGCCATGAGCACAAAATTAGCACCAGCCACGCCAGATGGTGGCGAATGACACCTCTGATGCTGCAAGAACGCATATCTCTCCCTCTCTCTCTCTCTATCTAAACAACACTGTGTGCATGCCAAAGAGATGTATATCTGTAGGTATATATGTACGTGCCACTAAACATTAAAAAATTTGGTCAAATGTGTACTCAGCTTCAACAACGACCCTCGTGCTTTGGTTAATCTTATCCGTCATGGTTGATAACGATATGGATTACTCTATCCGTCCCAAAAAACTCAACTTATAGAGTTTAAATTTATCCAAAAAAAAAATCAACTTCTACCACTTTACCTACCTCCTCTAGCATATAAAATGAGAAGTTTTATCTCTTAAATATCATTTACCTACTTATCACCATTACTACCTTTACTACTATTGATGAGGGTTATTTTTGTCATTTTTACTCCTCACTAAATTTGTTTTGGGATGCTAGGAATCTCACTAAATTTATTTTGGGATGCTAGGAATCCTCTTTTAGCAAGCAAGTGTTTTGGTCAAATTAAAGATGACATTAACAAGAGCATGAGGATGACCAACTAGTGTATGCCCGGTGAGTTCTTAATTAAAGATTAGTTATTTTTCATATATATCTAAATTCAAGAAAACAGCTTGAAAAATTCTTTTTAGTTTTTGCACTTTGCGTCCTTTTATTCAGTTTTACTTCGTTAAAGTTTTGTCCCATATGAGTACTTGTTTAATGCTATCTTAGGTTACGTTCAGCGACAATACACAGAGAGAAAAATTACCTTCTCTTTCAAAAGCATACGCTTACCGAAATACTAGACAATATTTTTTTACAAAAGAAATTACAAAAAGTTGTATTTTTAATTTTTAAGTTTAAAATAATTAATATTAATTATCTTATTTTGTGAGTATGTTTTAATTTTTTTTTCTTTCGTCAACTCTCAATCATAATGTTAAAAAAAACTCTCAACTAGTATGTTTTAAAGTTTTATGGTGTTAGTCGTGTCAAAAACATTGACTTGTCCACCCGCCGTTGTTTTGACTGCCTGCCGCGGGAAGGGAAAAACTTGCCGTGGAAATCTGATGCTGCCACGGCATCCTTTGCGTCAGGACGGCGTTCCCCGTTCTTCAATTTTTTGTCGATCAGCTCTGTTGAATCGTATGATTCATATGCTAGCTGTGTCTATAGGATTTGGTGCTTGCAGAATGTATTCTTTTCACCAAAGTGCATATACACACACCTAGTTGCATACATGCAATCTAGATAGCTATATAAAATTTTTAAAATTTTCACAAAACGAGTCCTCCTGGTAGATATGTGAGCGTTTGCACGATTGTGTTGTGTGTGCGTTAGACTTGTACTGACAAAAAAAAAGAAATATTAAATTGATAAGATAGATCATGAAGATGTAAATTACTAAACAAATAGATCTAAACTTAGTCTATACTCACTACTGCAGAAAAACCCATAGAGGTGCACCCTTTTTTATTTTTATAGGTGCTAAAAAAACATGAAAAAATATTTGGTATTTTTATTACTTCCCTATAACGTCACACTTCGCTTCCCACATATCACATGATTTTTGCAACCCATATTCATAGACATGCTTCTAAAGATTCTTACCATGCTATTGTTTTGTGATTATTGTTATCCAAATTTATAATGCTCAACTGAAAATTTTAGCGACTACAAAATTGTAGACGTCATCTATACCTACAACGTTCATATATGTTTTGTCTCCATCCGAGATCATTTAGAAATTTTAAATATTCACTTATGTAAATAGATCTGAAACATTATAACACATTTTCGGACATCAGAAAAACATTAAATAAAAAATTCATCACCTACAAAGTTATATGTCTCGTCAACTACAAATTTGATATAAAGTTTATCTTCATCCAACTTTATATGAAAATGTTAGATAGAAAATATTGTGTCATTATTGGTGCCGATTTTAGTTGTAAACCAACATCTATGAGCTCATAAGTACTAGTTTTTATTAAGAATCAACACATATATGATGCCTATAAGTATAGTTTTTATTAAGAACCAACACATATATGATGCCTATAAGTAACGGTTCATGATAAAAACCAGTACATATGCTTATAGAGGTGCCATTTTATTATAAGAATCATCGACACCTATGTGTTGTTTATAGGTATGTACCAGTTTGTTATAGCCTGATAGAAACCGACACCTATGATTTGATAGATTATTGGTGCTGACTTTTGTTACAAACCAATACCAATAAGTGATTATAAGTACCGGTTCTTAATTTTATACTGGAAAAAGGTGGAGAAAGCTTCATAGGCGCCAGTTTTAGGCAAACCGTCATATGTAAGTCCAGTCTTTATGTGCTGTTTTATAATAGTGGCTGGATAAATATAAATAGCTAGCAAACTGTATTGATGTGCACTTATTCATAGTTGTAGCATTTTATTATTTTAGAATGTTCAGGCATATGGCTGTGTTCGTTGGGTAGGTTGGGAACTCATTCCCTCCACACGGAAAACGGAGCGGTCCACTAGCGTGTGATTAATTAAGTATTAGCTATTTTTTTAAAATAAATAGATCAATATGATTTTTTAAACAACATTCATATAGAAGCTTTTTTCAAAAAAAACACACCGTTTAGCAGTTTGAAAAATGTGCACGTGGAACACAAGGAAGAGGGGTTAGGAACCCTGAGGAAATAACACAGCCTATAGAATACATGAGAAAGTCCAGAGCAAGTAACCAGCTAAACTATTAAAAACAATTAACTTTACTCCCTAATGGCATTTGTATGTTTTTTTCTCCTTAGGCACTAAAATTTAGGACTATCATATATGTATTACAACTTATATCTTAATATTCTCAATATTTTTTTAGATTTTTTTATAGTTATTTACATAGGTTAGAAGCATTTAAGACTGAATCAAATATCAAGATCTCAAAGTTAAGCAAACACTTCTGAAAATATTGAAAATATTTTCGAACTTTGATAATGGTGTATCTATGGCTATAAAAAGTGCAACTTAAAATATAGAGCTTATATAAAGAAGAAAAAAAAGGTGAAATGTCACCCGAGTACCATTTTCAATATGCTTTATGGAGTCAAATGAGTAAAGAAAAGGTTTAGGGGTTGATCTAATGAAATAGTTTGAGAGATTAAAAATTTAGTCTTGAATGTTTCTATATATAATTAATCTAAACTTATTATTATACCACAATCAGTATTACTATTTTGCAAACTTTACGCAACTTATTTGTTAGGTGCACGCCTGGGTGGAGCACCTATGCTGTGATGTCACGCCCATAAATTCACAAGTAATTTCCAAACTAATTTGTGCATTAAAACCCTCGTCCAGGAATCAGCCGAGGTACACAAACTGACAATTTAATATACAAATTCATCAAAATAACTAAAACGATAAATACTTACATAAGAGGCACTTAGTCCTCACCATGAAGAAAACTGCAGCGGAAAGTAAAATCTAGCGAAGCTTCAGCTCCACTCCCACAGGCAGCTCAACTGGGATCTAAGCCAAAGGTCTTCTCATTCTGGATCCTTTTCTTCAACTGAGGTTTGATGATTATTGCAAGAATGAGCATATGACATACTCAACAAGCCACACAGCAAATATGCAAGTGCACAAGGATACCAAAGGATGGCATAATATAGGGTTCATTTACGAAAGCAGCATTTAGCAAAGAGTTGAGAATTTGTAAAACAGTAGAGTAATTAATCATCAATATTAATCAACACTGAATAGCACACCCATACTGCTCAGGCCCAACCAAACCTGAACAACCAACCCCGGTCGTACAGATCAAACCTCCAAACCAGGAATTATCCATTCCAAACCATAAGTCAAATTAATTATCACATTATTATCATTAATGAGTAGTGTGGGACTAATCACGAAAAACATTGTTAGACCCGCCCATAACCACGGGCACGGCTATTCGAATAGTTTTACTCTGGCCAGAGATGTACCACTGTACCCACAAGACACGATTCCACACATGCTGCCATGCCCCGAAGTACCACCACGGCACTGCTAAGGGGGAAATCGTGACAGTACCCTTCACACAACACAACTCACCACAGTGTACTATTTCTGGATCATAATCACCCCCTCAATAACCAGAGGCATGGACTCCCCAGCGACCCCCCACGGACTTCTCGCCGCTTCACAGTCTGGCACACCATAATGAATCATGCTATACAAAAGATAAAGTCGTTGCCCACGCTGGCTTGTGGTTGGCATGATTAATGTCTCACAACAGTAGCTCGCGAACCGGTCCTTAATTGTCATGAGCACGACCTTCAAAACCATGTGCTCACAACCCACCATTAATCATATTTTAATTATCAATTAATTATCATAACACGTTTGACCATCGTGAGCTACCATTAACTATAACCATAAATAATAATGTAGTATATATGATTCATCCCATTAATGAGCTAATGTTTCTAAGCATGGCTAAGCAATTATATATATATATAGCATTTAGCTGAACCAAACCAATATATAAGGTTCAAGCTAATCAATTTATTATCCATAGGAAATTAAAGTCATCTTTGGCCATAATCAAATGGGAAGGCTCGCCACCCAATGACATTCTAAAGTAATGCATAAGTTGAAATAAAACAATAGCTTTAAATGGGTTCAACATGCTCAAAGGATTGTTTGGGATCTGTGTGACTTGCCTTGCAAACAAGCGTCTTCAATTCGTCTTCAGGAATTTCTCCAACGAACGAACGATCCTCCGAAACAACGGAAAACTAAACCTAGAACGCAAAACAAGGAAAGAAACTAATAAAAACCAAATAAACAGTACAATTAAAGTTCATAAATAGGTAGAGCTTGAATTTAGATGAATTATGAGACTTGAACGACCTCATTCCGAGTTCGTATGAATTAGATATGAATTTTACAAGATTTAATTCCAATTAAACCTATTAAAGAAAAGACTATTCCAAATTGATTAAACAATTTACAAATGACTTATAGCTGAGACAAAAGATTAAAACATCCTCCGGAAATAGATTAGATCATATTTGGTAGATGACATATATTAAAAAGGAATAATATGCCATTGAAAAGAAAGAACGGATTTATA